CTTCTCTCAGAAACCTTCCTGCCTTCCATCCCTTCCTTTCTCTCCCCCTCTTCTTTCCTTTGTCAACATTCCTTTCCTTCCTTCCTCTCAAAATCCATCCTTCCATCCATCCTTTCCTTCCTTCCTTCCTTCCTTGCTTTTAGAATCCATCCATCCATCTATCATGTCTATTATGTATCCTATCTTACCCATGCATCCATTCATCTATCCATTTATCTATCATGTATCCTATCCTATCCTGTCCACCCATCCATCCATTTATCTATCATTTATCCTATCTTATACATCCATTTAGCTATGTCTATCATGCACCCTATCCTAACCTGTCTGTCCGTCCGTCCGTCCATCCATCCATCCATGCATCCACCCAGTTTGATATTAAATGCATTAAAATATCTTGGATGCGTGTATGTTTTCTGATTTCCCAAGAATAGCCACCAAAGGGAAACTGAGGCTGGAGAAGACATGATAGGGGGATAGTCATTTCTCAACCTTTCTCTTACAGCCTTAACTCCAGCTACCACCTTGGTAAAGATCACCTCCTCCTAGTAAATTTTACCCTGACGTCTTCAGAGACATTTCCTATACGTAAACCTAAAGTGAAATCCACATCTAATTTAGTTGCAAAGCATTTGCACCCACCATTAGTTCCAATACAAGTAGGTACAGCTCTACCTCTAAGCTTAGGTAGAATTGTGACATATAACTGTACACCTATGACTTATATCCAAACACAACTTCATGCATAGAAAGAGTTTTTTTTATCCTTACTTGGTGTTTGTGAACTCTTTTCGTTCTCACTGGCTGCCTTCTGAATCTTTTTCCTTTTCTCTGGACTCAGGAGGCGATTTCCCGGTTCAATGGCCACTAAATCAGACGGAAGCAACATGTATTTTTCAAAACGGATCCTTCAAAGATCTCCAACTGTACACATGAACTCCAGCAAAGTTTCCGAAGAAACTTCAGACTACAGACTCGCTCCAACTCCTAAAGTTTCTTTTTCTGTTTTTGTTTTTGCCTCATGCCTGGAGTGAGTGAGTGGATTCCTCCCCCACCCCCGAACTTCCCTCACTCCATTGGCATTCATTTTGTTTGACAGGGAGAGCAGTCTGGTGCAGTGGTCAAAGACACTGGACTGGAGGCCAGGAAGGAACCATCTGGGGCAAACCACCTGTGGAAATATTTTCCCCCAAGCCTGCAAGAAATTGCCTGGGTGATACCCTGGAATCAAGACTGACTTGAAGGCATAAAAAAATATTGTATTGCATTGTGTTATGTTGTGTTGTATTGTATTGAATTGAATTGCACTGCACTGCATTGTATATTATATTTATAATATAATAAATATATTATTATATTGTATTATAATAAAATACATTTAACGTAATATATTATATCACACTATAACATAATATGGTACATATAATAACATATAATGTAATACATATAATAAAATATATTATTATATTGTATTATATAATAAATATAATATAATAAAATATAATGAATATAATTCATATATAACATAATAAATATAATATATTGTATTATAATATAATAAATATAATATATAATAAAATATAAAATAATAAAATATAATACATGTAATACGTATAACATAATAAATATATTATATTGTACTATAATATAACGAATATGATATAATATAATGTATAATAAAATATAAAATATAAAATAACATTTGACAGTAGCCTCTCATTCTCAGCTGCGGAAGGTGATAAAATGATAGAAAAAAATTCAGAAATTCAGGCAAACCAGGCGATTCCTTCCGTGGGAGCTGACTGGCTGGATGGAAGCGAAAACTTTTAGAAAGGACTGAAGGAAAAGATTAGGGAAGGGATCGAATCTGGGGGTGGGGGTGGGGCTCACCTGCTACCAGGATGAATCGGGTGCAATGGATGAGCGAGGCGGCCTGGCTGGAGTTCTCTGTGGAGGCCCAGAGATTCCACAGCTCCGTCTGTTGCAATGCCAGACAACAGCAATCCAGCACAGCCTGGAGATCCATACTTAGGGGCACCTGCTTGCGTGCTAAGTGCCAAGAGAGGATCTGTTAGGACAAAAAAGAAAGGGGCAGAATAACAGAGCTGGGAGGGACCATGGGGGCCCTCTAGTCCAGCCCCCTGCTCAAGCAGGAGATCCTATAGTACCCTTTCAGACAAGCGGCTGTCCAGTCTCTTCTTCAAAGCCTCCAGTGATGGAGCCTTCAAAACTTCTGGAGGCCAGGTGTTCCACTGATTAATTGTTCTCACTGTCAGGAAATTCCTCCTTAGTTCTAGGTTGCTTCTCTCCTTGATGAGTTTCCATCCATTGCTTCTTTTCTTCTCCTGCTTTCAGGTGCTTTGACCCCCCCTCTTCTTTGTGGCAGCCCCTCAAATATTGGAAGACTCTACTATCATGTCCTTCTTTTCATTAATGTAGACATACCCAATTCCTGCAACCGTTCTTCATATGTTTTAGCCTTCAGTTCTCTAATCATCTTTATTGCTCTGTACTTTTTCCAGAGTCTCAACGTCTTTATTCTATGATGGTGACCAAAACTGGATGCAATATTCCAAGTGTGGTCTTACCAAGGCACCAATTATATTATTATTATTATTATTATTATTATTATTATTATTATTATTATTATTATTAATTTAATTATCTAGATGATGTAAAAGTTTATTTTAAATAATTACTGAAATAAATTATTTAAAAGCACCATCATCGTCTGATCAGGAAAAGCTTTAAGGTGGCTGATATTTCCAACAAGCTTTGTAATTTCAAATCACGTAACTTGATAAACTGCCTTATAAACCAAATAAACAATCAGCAACAACATTCAGGAAGCTGAACAGTCCTTCGCAATGAATCAATTGCAAGAAACAGTCATCCATGTCTACTTTTTGTGATTTCTTCTTCTCTTTTCATTCGTTCTCCCAGGTCACCTGCTCGTTCCCAGAATTTCAAATCCACCCATCAAAATTATGCATAACTAGCGAAAATGTTTAAAGATAAATCAACTAAATGCTGAAAGTGTCATCAAACACCAGGAACATATTCCCATATGTGGTGGCCTTGCATAGAAGCTAAAAGATATTGGACTAAAATACACACATGGTTGGAAAAAATGTTTAAACAACGTATAGATTTGAAACCTGAATTTTTTTTATAAGGAATGGTACCTGAAGGTTATAGTAAAGAAAAAACATACTTAATCATACATGTCTTAACAGTAGCTAGAATTGTATTTGCTCAGAATTGGAAGAGTGATAAAGATACAGATAGAGGGAAAAGTAATCGAAAACATATTTGAATGTGCAGAAATGAATAGATTAACATTAGAAATTAAAGAAAAGGAAGAATCTGAATATTACGTGGTATTGGGTTTGTTTTATCAATAATTAGAAAATAAAATAAATTATAATGGAGTAGATGTAGTTATAAAGCAATAAGAGAAATTGGTGAAATAGATATATTGGATAGTACTTATATTATTCATACGGGAATGTGATTATTGTTATATTGATAAGAAATTATTATTAACTGTAAGCACACGAAATATGTACCTAATCGACACATGATTGAAATGGAATGGATTTATTGTATGTAAAAATTTAAAAAAAATGGGAAAAAAATTATGCATAATTTAGTGGTTAACACCAAAAAGCATCACTCTTCCCTGACTTGTTCTGTGAATTACAATATACTTTCAATTAGTTTTTCTTTATTTTTCTTTTTTTTTTTAACGGTAGGCAGTGTTTATATTTGTGGTTCTGTTAATTCAAACCTGTGGATTTGCACGAACCTTCTGAAATTTAATTAAGAGAGATGTGAAAATAAGTTGAGACAGGCAGAATTTTCTCTAGTAGCCAATCAGGTTTAGGCATTCTGGTCTGGAATAAACCTACCGCTTCCTTTATGGGAAATTATCCAGAAGCACAAATAAGCCACAGCTATATGAATCATAAAAAGGCCAACTCAACACGGGATTTCAAATATTTTTTCCAGATAACACCATCACAGCAGAATTGTGGCACAATAATAACCTGCGAGACTGCAAGGTTCTCTACGGTTTGTCACTTTTTAGAAGGCAGCATCATCAAATTTAAAAATATACATTATTGTTTTCCAATATCGTGACCGCCCTTACCTCTAGCAGCATCACAATGAACTTCACAATGTCATTTTCCTTCTCCGGAGGGATGCGCAGAGAAGCTGGCAGTTTGGAAAGCAACACCAGATACTGACTTAAAGCCTGAGCCAAAACCATTGTGAATTGAAACATTTCTGGGTCTCCTATGGGATAAACAACAACAACACAACCACAACGTCATAACACAAAAATGCGTTGTGATTTGGTCTCCTCTTTCAAATTTCTGAGGACCCAAGCAAACAGATCAGGCACTGAAAAGGATTCTTTCTTGAAAATGGGCGAGATCATTCTGTCCCACTCCAGGAACCCTTAGGGAACTATTTCTCCACCTACCCCCTCACACACATTATTTTTCTCCCATCAGCAAGAGCCGACAGCTGCTGGAAGAAAAATCCACTCCGGTTCCAAGCCGGGGAGAAAGACGCTGAAAATAAAATGGAGGCAACCGCATGGAAAGAAGGTCTCTGTTTTATTTGGATGCTAGACACTTCAGTGACAGCAGAAAATGGGGACCAGTTGGCTGAGTGAGTGGATGGATTTTTATAGGGTTCTGGGGGTTTACTGATTGAGATGCTCTAGGGGGGTTGTGCAATGTAGTGAGCCTTGTGTCTTTTACTATTCCAACGGTGGTGGGTTAATCCTATTATGTCCTAAAGGTCATGTCCTGTCCTTAGAATTTGGGTGGAGGAATGGAAATTTTTTAACCAGGGGTGGAGTGGTGGCTTAGAGGTGAAGTTCTCACCTCATGATCAGGAGGCTGTGAGTTCGATTCTAGGTAGAGGCAGATAGTTCTCTCTCTGGGCACAATGAGAATATATCTGCTGAATATAACTCTGCATTGGTGACAGGAAAGGTATCCGGCCAGGAAACACTCAAGCTCCATTCAGTTACCCAGATTCCACCTCACAAGGGATTATGGGGTCGTTAAAAGATGATGATGATGAATGTAAATTCTTAATCCCATCAGCTCCAGCCTCCTGTGGGAGATGTGGCTGAAAATGTTTTGTTTATGAATAGGATGACCTGGCTTTCGTCATAGGTACAAAATATCCACTTCTAAAGACTGGAGGCTTCTGCTTGAGACTATGGCAGGAAGACTGGAGCTGCTTTCTGCCTTTGTTAAGTTTTTTTTCTCCTCCATTTCTCCTTTTTGGGAAACACAGACACTACAAGAAAGCTGTTGCAATAATCCCTCCTCTCAAATACAAGAAAAGCAACCCAACACTCATGATTGGGTCACGAGTAAACCAAGACACAACTGGCAAGAGATGCCGTCTTCGCAAAAAGCCCACCAGAGGCAGACACCCTGACAGCACAGGCCACAAAAGCCTTCCCTTTCGGCCTGCACTTCCAGTTGTGAGGAGTTGCCAGATCCTGTCATGCCCCCATCGGAGTCTGAATCCGAGGAGGAAGACAAACAGCCTTCAGGGAGCGAGAGTGGCTCCATTGGCTGTGGAGGAAACTGGGGAAGGGCAAAGTCCGGCTGGGCAGAGCAGGGAAAAGGTAGAACAAGGGAGAGGGAGTCCAGTGGAAGACCCAGGCCCACCCCCTCTTCATCCTAGGGCACGCAGGGAGGAACGGAGAAGAGAGCAACATGGGTTGCGTGGCTTACGAGGAAGGAAAGGGCCCTGATTCCCTTCAAAAGGCACAAGGCCTGGGGAGGGAGTTTAAAGGAGAGGTAGTTTGGGAGGGGCGTTTGTTGGGAACAAACGTTGAGTTGATCTAATGTTGGCTGCTGTTATTAAAGTTCCTGGCATCCTCCCAACTGGTTGGATTTACTGCCGGGTTACTTCACTTCTGAAACTCCTTATCGTGCGCTGCCGGATTTATTGCTTTATCTTGCTTTGTTGGAGTTATAGTTGAAAGTTTTCTGTTTACACCATTTTGGATTGAAATGTCTGCAGCCAAAGGCTGTTGCAGGTTCCAGGGAGAGTATTTCTCCAGACTGGAAGGTAACCAGGATATTGTGGGCAAAGTTGGAGCTAATAAAGGGACCTCTACTTATTATCTGGTTGGGTTGTCTTTGTGCCACATCCCTTTGGGTCATCATAGCACTGATGGGGAAGCCTTGCAGAGGCCATCTAACCCTCTATTCCATATCTCACCATAAATATTGCTGAGTTTGTTCCAGTACGGGGACGATCCCATCGGCTGCATCGGCTGGAAGACTTGATGGCCGGTGGGTAGCTTGTTCACCACTTCTGTCACGTGGTGCAGCGTGACCAGGCGGGCGGCTTCAAAATGGCTCCTCAGCCCTCGGGACAGTTCCTGCCCACCCAGGCTCAAACACGGGGCGAGGAGGCTGATGTTGAAATCCTGAAAAGACCCAAGCAGCAGGAAGCAGTTTTCACACGTTTCTGACTTGAGCTACAGAATTGAAAAGACTTCTTGTTTCCAGGCTAAAGTGGGCCGTTCGATGTGCCACTAAACAAACGGGCAATTTCACACCCTCCATTTAATGTTGGCTTCAATTTGTGCTGAGACCCGTACCCCCTGGGGGTCAAATACTACTAGGTGTCAGCATTCTAGCAACCCTCCATTCCGCCCAATAACTCCAAGACAGACATCTTCTCAAAAGTTCCTTTTATTTGGATAGTAACTGGCACAACTGTGGAATCCCGAATCTGAAAGTTCTGGGCTTCCTTACAATAAGTAAAAACTACAAAACCCATCCCTTGCACCCATCATCACATCACATGGCCCAATCACCACCCGTCCCAACTTGAGACTTCCCTTCACTTATGCGCAACACAACCTGACCTTGAATCAGAAAAAGAATGTTATTATGTCTAACTAGATATACTGCAATGTATTTCCCCCTTCCACTTTCCCAGGCTCAGATGTGGCAGCGTGGAAGCATCTGGTCTCAATGTGGCTTCCAAAGCTGACACTAGGTGGAGGATATTGTAATATATTAAACATATTCAGAAGATAAAGGCACGAACATATGAAAAAACATACTAAATGAAGGACACCTGCATTTAAATGAAATATGTAGAATTAGACAGAAGATCCAGCGAAAGGAAAGTCTGGCAATCGCTGTGTCACATTCACAAGTTTGAAAGAATATTAAATATTTTCCACAGAGTGCTATTCGGTAAGGAAACAGGAAGAAATTTTGCTAGTGTTCAACTAGGGGATGTTGAACTGGATGCTCTGATCCCTGTGAAATTCCCACTCAGGTTAACATTCCAACTTCTGACAAGTGACTGCAGCAAAAAAAAAAAAAACAGCTATAAAATTAGGTGTGACTCTTGCTTAGTAACAGAAGTCCTGGTCCCGTTTGTGACCCTAAGTCAATGCTACCTAAAGAACTCTGGTGGTGCAGTGATTAGAATGCAGGATTGCAGATTGACTCTGCCCACTGCCAGCAGTTCGACTCTGTCTGGCTGAAGGTTTACTCAGCCTTCAGTCCTTCCTAAGTCGGTCAAAGAAGGACCCAGATTCTTGGGGCCAAGAAGTTGACTCTGTAAACCACTTAGAGCTGTTAAGCGGTATATAAGTCTAAGGGCTATTGCTAATCCTTCCTTCCTTCCTTCCTTCCTTCCTTCCTTCCTTCCTTCCTGTTAGAATGCAGTATTGCAGGCTAACCCTGCCAACTGCCAGCAGTTCGATCCTGACCAGCTGAAGGTTGACTCAGCCTTCCATCCTTCTGAGGTTGGTCAAATGAGGAGCCAGATTATTGGGGGGCAAGAGGCTGACTCTGTAAACCGCTTAGAGAGGGCGGTAAAAGCACCGTGAAGCAGTATAGAAGTGCTATTGCTATTCCTACCTGCCATTGTAACATAAAGGAGGGTTTTTCCCTCCTTCTTGGGACCACCTGTGCATTACCTGATGCATCATGAAAGGCAACAATTCCTGCTCAGGAAGCCGATACATCAATTCGGCACCTTCCGGAAGAGCAAAAGCTGATTTTGTGTAGCACTGGGACCTCACGAGTGAACAAAACCAATCCTTGCAGGGAAACAAAAAAGAGATAATTCAACAGGTTGTTTGCGTGATGACATGGCTGGCTACAAATCAACTATTCTGAATTTAAAACGCTTATTCAGTAAGTATTATCAACCAGCCTGACTTAGTGTTGTGGTTCGCCGGCAGCCTGTACGGACGGCAGTGGAATCGGACAGTGGGGAAGAACGGGGACCAGTCTGAGAGTTTGAAATGATTTAAAAAGAGTAAACACCGTTGATTGATAATAAATGGCTTCAACCAACCACTAACCATGAGTGGAAAAAAATTTTTTGTGTTATCATTCATCTTCTCTGAAAAATGGCCAAGAAATCATAAATTCTGCCAGGGTATGTAAACTTATGAGCATAACTGTAGATAGGTAGGTAGAGATAAAGATAGATAAAGATAGATAGGTAGAGATAGATATAGAGATACAGATAGAGGTAGGTAGGTAGGTAGGTAGGTAGATAGATAGATAGATAGATAGATAGATAGATAGATAGATAGATAGATAGATAGACAGACAGACAGACAGATATAGATAGATATAGATAGCTAAGATAGATAGCTGATAGATAAGATAGCTAAGATAGTTAGCTACGATAGACAGCTGATAGATAGCTAGATAGTTAGATAGCTAACATAGATAGATAGCTGATAGATAGATAGCAGATAGATAGATAGATAGATAGATAGATAAGATAGATAACTGATAGATAGATAGCTAAGATTGATAGCGATAGAGAGCTAAGTTAGACAGCTGATAGATAGATAGATAGATAGATAGATAGATAGATAGATAGATAGAT